AACATAATCATCATCACATGTATTTATATACAATGTAACTTCAAGTGTCAAATAAGGTCAGTAGAAGTACTAAGTAGCAGAAGATGGGAATACTCAAGTAAAGTACAAGTTCCCCAAAATATACTTTACTTACTTGAGTTAATGTACTTACATGTAGTTACATTCCACCACTACTCAGTTCCACTAAAGCTATATATTTTTCTACTTGCCCAAATTGATTAGCTCTATTTACAATGACATCTTCCAGAAGGCGTTGAAACTCTCCAAAGAACTACAGAGACCAGGTTGCACTACTGTATCGCTCTATCTGTTAACCATGGTGTGTGGGCCAGACATTATGAAGTGTGTGTGTGTGTGTGTGTGTGTGTGTGTGTGTGTGTGTGTGTGTGTGTGTGTGTGTGTGTGTGTGTGTGTGTGTGTGTGTGCGTGTGTGTGTGGCCTAGCATTACTATACTTGTGGGGACCTAAATCTGTTTACACAGTCACGTGTGGGGACTCGCCTCCCTTATGGGGACAAATTGGAGGTCCCCATGAGGGGAATCATTCATTTTAGGGTGAAGACTTGGTTAGGTTTAGGGTAAGGGTAAGGGTTAGGGTTAGGCATGTTTTGGTTATGGTTAAGGTTAGGATAAGTCTCCAGGAAATGCATGTAAGTCAATGTAATGTCCCCTGAAGTGATGTATACAAGGTAGGTATGTGTGTGTGTGTGTGTGTGTGTGTAAATGTTTGGCCTGTAGGCCGGAGTGTTATTGCTGATTCAGCTTCAAGCAAAGAACAGATTGTCTCAGAGGAGATTCTAATAGAACAATATGTGGAAAAGCTAGAGAGAGAGAGAGCAGTATTTGCAGACGAGAACATTGAGTTTTTGAGTGTTGATTCTCACTTTTAAAATCAATATGCTCCTGCAAACTAACACATTCAAACAGAGACCAAAACACTTGCAAAGAGCATAAACAGACTTCAAAGGTCACCTATCATGCAATATTTAGGCAATAGCATAGGTCTCAGATATATAAAAATGTATAAAAAACATGTCTATGAAGTGTTATGCTCAAAATACCAAACAGATCACCCATTCTACTCATGCCTCATATCCCTCTATTTCACTTTGTTACTAAAGTGCTGATTTGGGGATAAAGTTGCGCACCCGGCAGATACTGTCTAAAATAAATGCTGCGGTGATGAAACGCCAAAACCACATCAAGGATTATTTCTGAAACATTATGGAGCTCAAAAGCTTTCTCTCTGGCTGGTTTACCACAAGGTAAGTTCCTTTGTATTTCCTGCTTCTTCACACATGTGCTCTCTGCAGTACTGGTTAGCTCTGAGTGTTAGCGATGCTTGCTAATGTAAACAAAGGCCATATTACGTCCAACACACGTCGGGCATTGATTCTGATAGCGAGTTTCTGATAGGGCCGTGGGTCCACCACGTGGGTGCCATCCGATATGACGTAAATAACGTCATATCGGATGGCAAATCTAGATCAGCTCGTTGTAGCCCCATTTTTCAGAGATTTGCGCACGGAGGAAAAGAGAGAGGGTTTTATTTTCTGACACTTTGTGAGTTCCCTGACACGCCGGGGACACATATTTATGTATTAAAGACATCAAAAAGTGCATTTTACATGATAGGTCCCCTTTAAATCTACTAGTGTTGGAACACTTTATGCGAAACCTGTCCTTTTATTACAGACACGGCCCACACTATTTACCGTTACCTCATTTAATTTAGACTGTGGCTAAGACCCTTTATTTACCTGAGCTAAATAGAGAAGCGGTTAAAAATCTGACGTTAATATTATACTCAAGACTTTCTTTAAATTGCCATATATTTTGTGTGTGTTATTTTCTTGTTGCTGTTGTCTGCTGTTAATACAGACTCTTTTATTTAACATATAAATGTTTTATGCAGTTCTTATTTCAAATCCTGCAAACCCATCTTTAAAGTGTTGTCCTTTGCCTCAACTTTAGTGAATGTATTGAAGGCATTTTCTTTTCTGAACTGACTCTTAACCTCTTGAAGATCCTGTCTTTTGGAGGCTGTAGAAGGCTCAGTTTTAAAGACATTGCCACCACATGAAACTAGCAGACCTAATGAGTCCCTCGGTACCAACCATGTCCTATTGCAAAGGAAGCTAACAAGCTCCACAGTTAAGAAACTGGAATAGCCATACTCACAGGGTCACTTGGCCTTTTATCTCAAAATATATTTTTAGTAAGCTGTTCAAAAGTGGTATTTTCGCCTATTCTAAAATAAATCTGCATTTGCACATTCCTAAACAGTCGTGGAACTGCATACATTGGTGTACAACTGGAAGGCTTAATGTGAGGTGATGTTAGTTTACCCAATATTTTATTGTATTGAGAAACATCTTGACCTCTGTGTAAATGGACAGCATTTATAGGAAGCTTGACAGTCTTTCAACCAGTTAAAGTGCTTTTACAGTCAGCATTCACCCACTCTTATTTGGCCAGCAGTGGTGAGAAACTAGCAAACACAGGACAGATTGTCTTTAAGCAGCAGGTAATGATGTTGATGCCGCTACTGCACTTGCCATCTGCGCTTTGGAGGGCGATCAATGAAATCTCTACACACTTTTCAGGGATTAAAACTTGACCAGCAGGACCAGGACAGACCCTGTCTTCTTAGAACCCCATCGCACATTTACAAAAGCCTTCATATGTTTTCAAAACAAAGGCAGCTTCAGAAAATGACTTTCAATTTCTGCTCTGTCATCAGCTGCCTGCTGGATGAACGCAATGTCGAATACAGTAGTTACAAGATAAAGCATTAGTTAATTGTGTGGCTGATAGCAAAATGTATTTTCTGACTGACAGTAGTAACACATTGTGATAATGCACGACAAATTGCCTATGCCTGCCAGGACTAAAAGCCGGGCAGACTTTATATGCTTATCCTCAGTAAAGAATAGTCCTGAGAATGCACTGAAATGGGCTTGTTTTCAATAGAATGTCATGCATTCTTGGCAACTTTTCCTGAATTAGACAATTTATTTTGATCTATAGTCACTTAAATTAAGGAACATTTTAGAATTTTGATGACATTATTGGAACTATGTATGCGGTATTACCAGTATATGTTTAAAATGGACACTTAGGCTCAAGACTTTTTAATCAAGCTTGTAGTTAGGGCTGGCCCCAAGTTATGCTACTACTGTATATGCTTTGACTGTCAGAGAATATGTACCTTTCAACTTTCTAATGCTACTATTATTATTTGCATGAACTCATGTTCCCATTATCACTGTTGTCAATTTGATTATCTATATTGTAATATTTATAATATATATATATTTTTAATATTGAAGTTAAAAGCATCAATCTGGTGCACTTTGAGAGCAAAATTAAGAGATCTATGGATACATCTCTCAACACCCATATGAAACAGAACTGTAAGCAGATGTTTCTTTATGGATATTTTACAAATCACTTAAACTGTATTCTTGTTTTGTCATATAGTATTTCATAACTGTTTTTTCTGGCTGTCCATCTCATAATGTTCACATAGAAATTAGCTGTTAATAGGAATATCATTCAGAAGAATTATAATTTCTTGCAAAAATCTGTCACAAAAAGAGGTTGCACATTTAAATTCAGGTGTTCTTATGGCAACGTCAGTGGCCAAACAGCCACATTTACTGCTGCAAATACGTTCAAACATGCTGTCGACACGTAAAGCAGTGGCAACTATGCCACCATTTCAGCTGACTTTTTCTCAGAAATACTGTCACATAACATCCATATGTTTCAGTGCTAGGTTGATGCTTAGCTAAGCTAACTATGAAACATTTTAACTGACAGGACTCCGGATCAACTGTGTACTGTATCTTCTAGCTTCATGTCGAACAGTAAGTCAACATTTCCCAGAGAGCTTTCTTTGAAATCACCAGGTAACGCTAAAAAACATTACATTTAGATTGTATGACAAAGTGTTTATTTCATATATCTGGCTAGCTATAGCTACTTGCTAACGGTTTAGCTTACCCCCGCGATTTAAAGTAATGTCAACGTAGCTGTAATTTATGCTTTGCTTACATGTTCGCATAACTTGGAAGTTTACTGACATTTACATACCTTGTTTACCTGGCTCAAGTGGTGGCTCTGGGGTTGTTGTGTGAGCCACCACTTGAGAATTGTCATATTTTTTAAGAAAATGTTTTCTTATGTCCATCTTCAAAAACTCTGAGTCCGACTGGCAGTTTATTTTAAACATTGTCACAGCTCACAGGATATTGTCAGCCAATAAGACAGATGTTTATTTCCATTCAACTCTGGTTGGTCTGGTGTCTTGCCTCTGTTGCATTCACTGAACACGGGAAATTACAATCCTGCCATCCTCTCTTGTGTCATGATTAGGGTTGGGTACCGAGAACCGGTTCCGGGGCGGGAAATGTAGCGTTGTACACATAGATATATATATAAACCATGATATAAACACGTGTTTATATTATAGGTTTATATATTCTATGGTTGTACCCTATGGTTGTACCTACACTTCCTACAGCGTAACCTGAGACCAGGGCCGGCCCGTCGCACTGGCGTTATAGTTCGCCTAGGGCGCCAGATCTGTGGAGGCGGCTGCTTATGTCGCTTAATGGGTCGGGCCGGCTCTGCGCACGTCTGTCAGTGTTGGGAGAGGGATCCCTTCTCTGTTGATCTCCAAGAGGTTTCTTCAATTTTTCCAAACGCCAAAGGGGATTCATATGCTGTATGTAATTGTATGTATATGTAATTTGGGATATTGGGATATTGGGCTATATAAAAGATTGATTGATCGATCGACCTTTATATGCTGTGACAAACATCATGACCAGGCTTTGCACCTAAATTACAACCAGATTACAGAAAGTCTCTAAAAGCCAATTAGCAAGCAAAAATGCATTAAATCATTTGAATTACATTTTGGTTGTTATCGCAAAATTCATGTGTCTAATTCAACATCCTGCAACTGGAATTTGTTCTGTCATACACACTCACCTTGGTATCTGAGCAGCGCTGATCCGACCTGAGGCATCTGGCTGTGGAAGCGGATAGAGATCTGATTGCTGTGGCTTCTTATTACCAACCCCCTCATCAGGATGGACTCATTGGCCAGCATGGAGTTCTCCCCCTGGCCCACATCTTCAAACACCACCTTGTCTCCCTCAGATAGATTCACGTTCATCACCTGAAAGGAAAGAAAAAAACGATTAGACCATTTACGCCTCAGATAAAGAAAAAATAACAAAAGCTCTCTATTCTGGGATATAGAATCTCTTTTGGCGATGCATGACGCTGACATTGAACCCCTAAAATAAAAAAGGCCCAGCAGTAGCAGTTAGGAATTTTCAACACACCACAGGAGTGCACAGGATAATCCAACTCTACGCAGCAAGAGGGCCAAGATGTATTGGGTCCCTGTTCGTTCCTATGAAAGTTGCTTTGTGGCACATGAAGCAAAAATGGTCTTACTCTCAAAAGCAAAACTACCTGGGGCCCATAGAGCATGTGCATCTATAGTTTTCTTAAACCCTCCCTCCAGTCCGCCTCGTCACGACAGCTTCATGGTTAGTCTTGGCTCAGCCCAATAAATGAAGCAGGAAAATAACTCTGGAGTCGGCTTTTGGCACATTTTACAACTTTTAGGACCTAATATTTTGAATAAAGGCTATTTAAGAGTTCATTTACAGATGTTGCTTTCACAATGCAATCCAATTAGAAAACTTGTTTTTGGGCCAAATGACGTCACTGACATGAAAGTTATAGTACCACCGTTTGGCCTCTACACATCCATCAGCTGCTGTGCTGATCCTGATACTGACCTCTGAGATGCACTCTCTGTAAATGCTTTGCACTGAGTTCATCCGTTCAGAGTGGCTCCCATTATTGTTGCCACACCATGCACATTCATCAGCCAGTGAGAAATAAAGCAGGGCATTTTCCAATTTCAGATCAGATACCAACATTCTCTATCCTATGAAGATGGGCACAGGACTGCCAGCCTTCATGGATACATTTTACATTTGAAGCTTTGGGCACTTTGAGATAAAGGGGTTATTATTCGCACAGTTCCAGGGCTTGTTTGCATTCACTTGCATTCATTTCCTATTGAAATAAAAGAAAATAATAGGCATCCGGTGAAGTCAAGAATGTTGACCTGAGTTACTTTGTAGTTGACCTCTCCAATTCCAATGTCAGTGGAAAGTGGAGTGAAGAGAGCCACACACATTTTCAGCATGTATTACAGCCTCGAAAGTCTGCTTTGCATAATGCTTGGGCACAAATCAAAAGTAAGAAATATGGAAGAAGCCAAAAGGACAACGTGTTTCTCAGTGATTACACTGCAGATAGGCCTGATAATTGTCAGCTTGTCTCCTTTGCTGACAAGACGTCTCGTGAGAAATGTCGCTTTTATCAGCTTTTATCACAGCAGGTACTTCTTTATTCAGGCATTAAAAGGAAGGGGGAGTCTTGTCTTCACGTGGCCCTTCATAGATCATATCAACTGCCTGCTGTCTCACATAGCTGGGGGATGAATCCTCGGCTCTCCTGAGGAAAGCAGCAGAGAGAGTCTGAAGTGAAGTGAATCCACTGACAGAACACAAGTGTCAGTTAACAGTGTGTTCATGGTGTGTAAACATCCAAGCCAAACATCAGACTAATGTACAAACTGTGGTTTAAATGTAACATACTTAAACCTGTATGTGTTATGATAAACAGTATTCCAGACAGTCACAACATGTGGTACAACACTATAAGTGCAGGGATGAAAAAGCATATACAAGTCCCAATGCAAGCATGTTGTTTCTCATGCCATGATATGAAAATGTATATTCATTTTTCTACACATTAAAATCATAGAAGTAGGAAAATAGCAGTGGTTGTGCTTTTATCATATGCATGACTCACCAACAATTTTGAAGTTGGCAACTATTACCTTTTTAAAAGAGGCATGGCATACCATTTTTTTAACCCTAATGGAAAAGGGCATGAAAATATGTAGCTGGTTTTAGCTGATCTATGCTGGTGAAGCTGGTATTTATGCTGGTCTACCAGCAGTCTTGCTGGCGAAACTGAAACAGACACAGACAGACAGAGAGGGCGAGACACGGGGGAAAGGCGAGACGGCAGTGGTTGAAACAAAGCGGTATAAAACATGGTTTTGACTGGCGCTAACGGTCGGGGAGTGAAGATCAGTTGAGCGTTTCTGTGACTCCGCCCAGCGGCTGCTCTTCTGAGAGGAACCGCTCTGACAGCTCTGTCTACTGGGAAACACGCTAAAAGTCCTTCTGGAGGTAAGCAACACTACACAATTTCACCAAGTCTGAGAGTAAAAGCTTTCTCGAAGGTTCGTTTTGCTTTCTTACAATGTTATGTTAATGTTAACTTAACCTTAAGTTTGCTAGGAGGCTATTGTTACTTCCCTTAACAAGAGCTAGCTGTCTTAGCAGTTAGCAGCTAACGTTTTCTGCAGTTTGTGTTTCCCCTGAAAAAACGTAATGTAGTTATTTAAGGGTAAGTTAACTTAACGTTATCTTACAAGTTGAGAGAGTTAAGTTTTGTGTAAAATCGTCAATGTAATGCACGTTAGAGGTTTTGTGTTGAACATGAAGTTAGCTAACTGTAGCTCACTCTACCAATGGTTAGCATGTTAAGCCGTACTTTCTGTGGCAGCTAGCTTAATACAAAGAGGGTTTTTCTGCTTCATTGTAAACTTTTCTCTCAAATGTGTGTTAACCTACCTGAAATTGTAGGGACAGTTTTGTTCTACTCAATGATACAGACCATTGTTGAGGAGATGCAAAACATACTTTAAATGAGTTGGGTCCAACATATACTTTGAGTAATGTTACTTTGCTGCTAAAAAATGAAACATTATCAGATGAGGACATCACCAAAGTGTGTGAGTCTGTCAGGGGATTTGACCTGTTCTTTGCGTGTCGTACTGCTCTGGAATTCATTAAAAATATAATTGTAAAATGTAAGTCTCCCGCTCTTGTCATCGTTTAGGCTTTGCATTTGAACTCCTATGACTGGTTGCGGACTTGAAGGGAATGACTTCCTGGCCTTCCTGACATCCAGGAAAAAGGTGAGATTCTAATCCATTTCAATGCCAAAAGCAAGTTATAGTTTGTCCTCCTGTGTTGTCTTATTTCCTTATATTTCTTTCAGGTGTAACATCTACCAATAGTTGTACATGACATAGACCTCCTCCACCTCATTGCTGTCCTACTAGTCAACCCTTCTGAGCCTTTCCTAAATAGTGGTAAGTTGTTTTACAGTTCAGTGTACGTTAATTTAGCAACTTAATGCTTTACTGCTGTTGAATACAACCTATATTGCTAGTGATTCTATTAAAAGTATGATTTGCAATCTTTTTGATTCCAATTACAATCATCTTTTAGTTATAATTGTAAAACACATCTTAACATCCATCAGCAATCAATAAAACAAATAAAATAGAAGAAATCTGGACCTATTCTATTTCTTGTTATACAGCATTTATTGGGACTGCTCATTGATGTCTAGCTTTTGTAGTCGGCCTCTTAGAATGTTTATAATGTATTTGTCTCTTAACATTCCTATAATCATTTGTTTTTTATTGTTGATATTGTTTTGTTTTTTATTTTTGTTGTGAGAATCACTTTGCAATTATGTAAGTGCTAAAAGATGAAAACACCTGTTCAAATTTCCAGTTCCCTGTACATGGAACCGTGCCTGTCCTCTGTTCCACAAGCCTTCAGTCAGTTCTGGACCCTATGACTCGGACACTAGTTCTACCAAGGCTCATTAGAGGTAAGCAGTGGTAGGAGAGGAGTGGAGTTATCTTTGTATTTAGGCTGCTAATAATGATCCGATTCATTTGATATGGATTGTCTGCCAATACCGAATCCTGATCCGATTCTTCTATTTCCCAGATAATACAGCTGCACCGTGTACACTATCTCTATTTGTTTTTGCCATTGTAATTCACCACAAGCAATTGTTGACTGTAACGTCTATGCCAACCAACTGTAATTTGTAATATATTTTACCATACTTTAACGGTCAAGTTCCGTCAACCACAGCAGCCCAAATGTTAACGTAAATGTCAAGTTTTCTTTTTACATTGTACTTATATCTGTACATTTATTTTCAGTTTGCTTCAAGAAGTGGCTTCAACAGACAGAAGTGCAGGCCAGATTGGGAAAGGCTGGACGCTACACAACGGGAAACATTATGGACATGAACAAGGAAAAACAAAAAACACTTTCTTTGTTGCCTTTTTCTTATCATACATAGTGTTACTGTTTTTGTTACCATTTAAATATTGAATTCTATATATTACTTTTATTTTAAATAAAATGCACCGGTTTTAGATAATATATTAATTTTGATGTATAGGTTGATTTGCAGGTTGGTTGTTATTTGTATAATTATTGTATTGTTACTGTGTATTTTATTATATTAACTAGCTATTTATTGCTATTTATTACACTATACAATGTCTTTATTTTGGTAGATACCAGAATACATGACACAATGAATCTTTGTAATATATGTACTGTATGTTCTCTGGTTTATATAACCATACCAGTATTTAAACAATGTATGCTGGTCACCTGGAATCCTGGTAAGCTTCCAGCATGGTATATTTAATAATATTATTAAACATAAGCTGGTGATCGATGGATGCTGGTACTGGTAGCATACTATGCTGTTTATTTAGCTGGCCAGGATGGCTGGTTTAGCTGGTCCACCAGCTAAAGTGTCCAAAACCCCTCTAAACCAGCCAACCATTCCAGCCTAATATCTACTGGCTGGTCAGGCTGGTCAATTTAGCAGCTAAATTGGTCTAAGCTGGTTTTTTCAGCAGGGTGTTGTCAAGAGTTGTGTTTTATTTGGCAGGAAATAGTGTTTAATCTCAAGACCATATGTCAATAACTTTGTGTCTTTTATATACAACTATTTAGATAAAAAACAAAAAACAAGTAAAGGTAAGGCTGTATGAAGTTTAGAGCGAGTGTGAGGATTTGAAAGACAAACTGCTGAAGGGCAGATTATGATTCTTTTAAAGTGTTATTCCTTTCAATCCATCCTCATCATTTTATTCTAGCATAATATGGCATTTCATCACAGGAATCTATGCAATAAATCTGCAATTAAATATCACAATAGTGATATTCGGCATTTTTTAAATATCATCCA